TGCAAGGTGGGGAAGAGGGGCCCTCCCCAGTGCCAACCTGGTTCATAAGAACGTGCTAGTATTGGTGTTAGTGCAGAACTAACCTTGGAAAGGAGCAATCTGGAGGAAGTGAGAGCCTCACATCAGTGCCTATGCCCTCTGCCAGAACCCGGCTTGCTCTGGGGAGGGGGCTGCTCATTGTACCAAGTGCCTGTGGGTGATCCAAGAAGCAAGTAGTGAAAAACAACCCCCCATAAGATTCTTTAATTCTGCATCCAGACACCCCTGCATGTTGCCCCACAGGTGGACAGGGATCGGTTGGACTGAGGGGAAGGAGTGAGGCTTCTGGTTACCTCACTCCAGCCAGCCTTCCCTCCTTCCCTGTTACTGGGCTGCTCGCTATGTCCCATCACCCAGCTCCACATGAGGAAGCGCTTACAAAACGTTCATATTCGCTTCGTAACTGACAATCTTCCTTCCCAGTCTGCAAATCCAGCCAGTGGCTTGTGAGGATCGGCCGAGAAAAAATGCCAGTTAGAAATTAATATTACTAAGCTGTACAGAAATGGCACCATGAAGATGCTTCCACAAATGCAGCCCTGCAGCCCTCTCTGTTCTGGCCTGCTCTGAGCCCATCACCAGGACACCCCCACTGCCTCCTTGCAACCCCCAGACGTGCATGCCTGACAGTCAGCCTCCAATCCCTTAAAAGCTGAGAGACATGCCAAAATAATCTCATTTTATTCCCTTTTCCTTTTTCCCCATCCCTCTTCCATGATTGGTTTAGCAGATCACTTAAGTGCCCAGCTAGCACTGTACATATGGTGCTGTGGAAAGATACAGATATGCCAGGGCGAGTGGCAGCCTGGATGAATTGAAGTGAAGCTGTGGTAGCGCTGGCTGCTGAATGGTGGCTTTGATGTTACTAACTCCTCTTGCCCAAGCCACATTGAAAGGATCTCCCGCCTGAGCAAACACAGCCTTTGTGGCTGAGGGACCCTTAAGGTCCCTCACAGAGGGAAAATCCTGCCAACCAGGTCCTGGTGCAGTCACCTGGATCTTACATGGGCAAACCCACTGCAGCAGTGGAGATGTGAACAAGTGGCAGCCATTGCCATAAGTCAGGCTTTCTTCATGCTGTTGTGACCAGCACTGGCCTGAACTAGCACTGGTAGGAGCTGTAGCTGGGTTTGACTACCACTAATCTCAAGACTGATCAAATCTGAAGCAACAGTAAGAAGAATGTGCTCCCCTACTACTGCCACTACAACACAATGACATATGTGGGACAGCAAGGACTTCCCTGCCAGGCTTAGTGCAGGCAGCTAAGGGGTGGGTTACTGTCCCTGCTCTGAGGATTGCCCCACCAGACCCTGCCACAAGCTCCTGGTGGCAAGTAGGAGCTGAACCTTGGGCAGTCACTGTCATTCACCAACACCTCCCTTCTCTTGGCCTCCCCTGGGGTCTTGTCCTGTGAGCAGAGCAGCAAGGGCACATCTAAGCCCCAGCATACCTGCATGCACCCCACAGTTACTTCCTGGCACATGAAAAGTCCATTGCACCAGCAGCCATCCCCATGATATCCCCCTTCACAGCGTGAGGCAAGAGCTGAGAGCCCACCAGGCCCCACCAGGAGAGTCGTCCACACCCTGTGCAGGACCGGCGCTGTGGTGTTTCCCCTTGTAGCAGTTGTGGCAGAGATGTGCTTACTCTCGCAGCACTGCACCCAGCACAACGCGAAGAGCCAGGCCATCTGCATGCAGGCAGGGCAAAAAAAAATGATCGCAGGCATCCCGTGCCAGCATGGCACAGCCCAAATAAAAGGTTTGCAGATGCTGCTCAGGCAGGATTAGGCCTCCAATGTGCTAAGTCTCGGCTCTTGGCAAGCCTAATTGCTGCTGCAATAAGCCCTGGCTGGTCCTTCCCTGAACCATGCTCCCCACAGCCCCCCCATGAAACATTTTTTTTTGCTGTAAAGCTTGTGTTTGCCATGCATATGTTCCCCGCTGCCCAGCAGGGCCTGGCTGAGCAGAGGAGGGGAAAGGCAGGAAGTCTGCTGATGCCACTTTTATTGCTCTGCTTTTCCCAGCCAGCATCCCACCGCTATTCCCCCCACCCAGCACAGCCTGTGGCTGCCTGTGTGCAAGGAGCCAGGCCCAGCAGCAGAGGCGGGGACAGGTGACAGCATTGTTACATGGCTGCACACCCCCTGAGCTGTATTAGGAAACTTTCCAAATCGGAATTACTCAGATTTTAATAAAACCTTTTGATAATTTTCCGTTATGTTTTGGCCAGCAGATGAAACTGGAGGTGTTCCAGGAGAGCTGTCGTGGCATGTGCATGGGCCAATTCAGCCCAGCCATGAGATGAGGACCCATCGCAGGCGGGAGTCAGGCAGCTGGATGGCCACGGCACTGTTGTGCCTCACTGGGAGTGCTTGTGTGGTTAGGACCATGTGGCTGCTCTGTGTGCCTCCCCAGGAGGCAGAGATGACCCCATCATGTGTTCACCTAGCCCAAGTGAGCAGATGCTCCTTGTATTTAACCACTAGAGACATGGGGACACAGAGCCCAACTCTGCACCCTCCAAAGCAACAGGATTTGGAGAGCAGGAGGAGAGCACTGCACAGAGACTTGAGAGGCAGAGTACCTTTCCTGACACCAGGGCTGGAGACATTTCAGTGAAGAACCTCATGCTTGAGCTGTATCGAGAAGGATTTTCAACAGCCCTTGGGAGAATGGAGCAACTTTCTCCTGGTGACTTTCCTCAGGAACTGGTTGAGTGCTCCTTTTTGGACCATCTCTAACCCATCAGCTGTGGTTTGGCTCTTTGACTGGCACAAATCACTTACCTTCTGGCATGTGGAGGCCACTGGACAAGACCTCAGTTCTGGGGAGACACATGAGATCTTTGCTTTGACACCTTGGAAAAACTACACTGCCTCAGCACAGCTCTCCAGCCCAGTTTAGGTACAAGTCTGCGGAAAATCTGCTCAAAGCTAGCAGCTATCACAAGATGTGCCAAAGGAAGGTACAAATTGCAATCCACTGCATGAAAACCAAAGATACACCACAATTTTATTAATGGACATGTAATAAATAAATGGTGGACAAAACAGGAAGAGCCACATTCAAAAATCCAGATCACTAAAGTGCTTTTAGACATAAATATAGGACAACCAAGAAACAGCTCTGACATTAACACTTTTTACAAACAATTACAAAATATCTTCTTATGTCAATTCACAAAATTGTTTAATTGCTCTGGGGTACTATGGCTTAGTTTTCAAAAAGGTCTGTTCTGTTATGCATAGTATGGCAGATAACATTCAAGAGTGTACAAAATCATTGCATAAACAAAAATGTATTTTACCCCCTTCTCCCAAATATGAGTTAAGGAAGCTACACAGTGTAAATCCAGTGATAAGGCTGCATTGGCAGGCCAGATCCTCAGGAGGTATAAACCAGCGCATCTGTCAAGTTACACCAGTGCATTAAAAAACCCTGCTGCTCCTCGAGGTGGAAGAATTGTGTGTTCAAAGCGGAGGGACTTGTCACACAGGCACTGTGCAGGGGTGGAAGTGCTTAGAGAAGGCGTCTGTAAAGTCCTGCACCATCTTTGCGCCCGTGTGTTTGAGAAGGGAGTGACTCCTGTTGCTCCCCATTGATGCTCTTTATGCTCCTGGCTGGACGGGGAAGAAGCATTCACAACCCAGAGGGGAAGGGTGGCTCTTCCCCAGCAACAATCCATGCTGACCACAATGGAGTCTCGTTTTCACACTGCTCTTGGCCCCGCTGGGACACCTCTCCCACCCTCCGCCCTGGCTCCACTGAGAAGTGAACAGCTTGAAAGTGTGGGGACAAGAGGATGTGTGTGCCCAGTTTTAAAATGCCCTGAATTCAGATAAAAGTTCAATTATTAAGAAAAAATATATATATCAATAAATCAATAAATATTATTATCTCGCCAGGAAGCTGTGAGGTCTGGCCTCCTCCGGGGCAGCGCAAGCTCAGTGGTCCCTGTCCTTCTGTTCCGTGGGGGGGTCCCCGTTGATGCACTGCCTCAGTACCCCCCTCTTCTCATGCTTGGCTGTCCTGGAGAGGTCGATGGCTGTGTCCTCTGAATCTTTTGCAGGGCCAAGCTTGTCAGAGCCACTCTGGGAACTGGCCTGCTTCCCTTTGAGCTCCTCCTCCTCCTGCTCTGCTCGCCAGCCATCTGCCAGCTTCTCTTGGCTCTCCGCCTTCCTGCTCACCTCCATGGACTTTTTGTGCATGCCTTGCAGAGGGGAGAGAGCAAAGCCAAGGGTGCCGGTTGCTTATTTCTGCCCGGGACCGCTCAGCATCACCTCCTGCCCTCCTGCTGCTTCCTTCAGTTCTTGCTTGCATCCCAAGGAAAACTCACGCTAACTACCAGCCTTTCCCAGCCCGGAGCCCTGCCACCTGCTCTCTGCAGCCCAAGAGGATTCTGCTTGTGGCAGAATTGGTCTGTACCTCCCCTGCAGCGGGGAAGACTTACAGTGAGAGGGGTGCTGTGACAGCCCATCCCAGCCTGGAGGTTGAGTTGCCACCTTGGTGTAGGACCGTCTATGAGCAGAGGATAGCTCTGAGGTAGCATTAACATTATCTTCAGTTTTGGGGGGAGAGTGATGACCTCCTAGAGGCTCTGCAACTCTCATGCTGGCTGTTAGCACTAGAAAGTGATACCTAACCACATGCAGGCACCTGTCTGATGCGGCAGTAAAAGATTTTCCCTTTCTCAGCTATTCTTTGCAAGGAGGGAGCGGGAAAGCCAGGGCACTTGGCAGCCTGCGCACAGCTCATGGCTGAGGCCCCATTCTTCTGTGGGAAAAAAGCAAGAATGGCCATACGAAAGAGGAAGGGCCATTCGCTCCACAGCTGCGCCTCAGCCCCCACAGCCCCAGGCTCCCACTTACCCACCCCCTTCCCCAGCAGCCATGGGGCGCAGGATCCCACCAGCCCGCTCTTGGCAGAGTTGATGATGGACTCGGGCAGAGGGATGGAGTGCCTCACCATGGCGCCGTAGAGGCCGTACTCAGCCATCACGCTGCTCCGGCCCCAGCACTTCTCCCGCTTCCGCCACTTGGCTCTTCGGTTCTGAAACCAAACCTTCAGGGGTAACAGCCAGGAGAGCATGGAGGGGTGGGATTGGGGAGGAGACGGCCCCCGTGACCAGGTGCCCAGGACCCGTTGGGCACAGGGGAGCATGTGTCCAGGGCAAAGGGGCAGCCGCGGGGGTGCATGGGGGGATTTGGGTGTGTGAGCACAAGGTGCAGACGCGCAGGTGGCAGGGGGAGGGTGGCCAGGGAGGTGCAGGGAAGGGGTTGAGGGAGAATGGAGGGGTGGGATTGGGGAGGAGACGGCCCCCGTGACCAGGTGCCCAGGACCCGTTGGGCACAGGGGAGCATGTGTCCAGGGCAAAGGGGCAGCCGCGGGGGTGCATGGGGGGATTTGGGTGTGTGAGCACAAGGTGCAGACGCGCAGGTGGCAGGGGGAGGGTGGCCAGGGAGGTGCAGGGAAGGGGTTGAGGGAGAGCACACACATGGGTGTCAGTGGGAGAGGGGAGGAAGGGGGGGAGAGGGAGCACACGTTACACGAGACTGATCGTGACACAGGAGGGTGATCCTAGCTAAAGTCACCGTACACTCTGCCTGCCCACAGGGCCCCTCTGCTGCCTCCGCACAGAGCACCAACCTCTCCAGAAAAAGGGGTCCATAATGCAGTGACTGAAGATGACAGAAGGTGCTCAGGTTCCTCTCCTCACCCCCTTCCTGCATTTGAAGGCTCAAGGAGTGTAGACACAACCTGGCTGCTGCCCAGACCACCATCCCATTTTTAAGTCTATGAGCCCCACAGTGGGGCAGGATCAGGCTCTAAAATGCCATGTGTCTGTCAGAGGGACAAGCTAGTGAGCCAGCTAGTGGGACACAGCTTGGGCCAGCAGCTCCTGAATCACTCTCAGCTCCTGCTTGTGTTGGGTCCCTGGAGGACATAGCCGAGCCGCCGGCAGTGAGCAGCTGTTGGGGCCAGTTCCATCCCCCAGTTCTGCACTTCCTTTTGGAGCCTGTTCAGTACCGGGGGGTGGAAGCTGAGCCGCCCCCGCAAGCGCCCTGCAGCATTTCGGTGCCACCACGTTCCCACCACCTGCCCTCACTGGTCACACAGCAGAAAAACAGCCGGGTGCGGCAGTCCGCAGACTGCGCCGGGAGCGAGGACCGTCTCAGCCA